CGCTCACTCGCTCTCGCTCTCCCTCTCCCTCCCTCCCTCCCTCCTTCCTTCCTTCCCTTCTTTTTCCAACACTGGAGTTTGAACTCAGAACTCAGAGTCTCAAACTCACTAGGCAGCCCATGCTTCCAGCCCTCTTTTGCCTTATTTATTCTTCAGATTAAAAAAAAAAAGACGGACCATGAGCCTCTACTTACAGCCTCATGCGCAGCTGGGGGCACAGCTTCGCAGGCAGGTGTGTGCCACTGTGTCCAGCTTGTTGGTTGGAGATGGGGTGTTGCTGACTTTATTGCCCCAGCTGGCATCGAACTGTGATCCTCTGAATCACAGAGGATCCTCTGTGATCCTCTGGATCCTCTGGATCCTCTGGATATCTCCTGAGTAGCTGGGATTACAGGTGTCAGCCACCACACCCAGCTCCACCTGTTAGTACTTTAACACCCATCACTAGAGCTTAACCGTTTGTTTGGGCTGGGAAACAGAGTAACCCTCACATCCTTGCTGGGACTGGAACCAGGACCAGGACTAAGCTGGCATCCTGCCAGCCAGAATGGCAGAAGAGATGTGGGTGTAGATAGAAGGAGAGGGGCCTGTCTGTCCATGCCTCTGGAGACTGTTTGGAAGTCAGTCATGACTGGATACCACTAGAGGGGCCACTGGGCAGGGACATATGGAAGCAGAGCATACGACAGCTGGGTGAAGGGTGGACTTTGGGCCCTCGCCTTCTTCCAACCTGCCCGCCAGCCTCCATCCAGTGCCTTTACCAGGTAAGTATCAGAGGACTAGAGGACCTGGAGCTCCTCAGCATGGAGCCTCACCGGGCCCAGGCCGGAGACCCAGAAGCTCCGGAACCTCTCTGCCGCCCCAAACCCAGCTGATCCTCCCTTTTACTCTCAGAACTCTGCCCAGCATCCACGCTCTGAGACCAACCCCGAGACCTGTGGGCCAGAGGCTCAGGCCCAGTACCAGCCTCACCCACCCAGGCGCCCCTCGGCCAGGGCCGCCCCTCCCGGCTCCCAGGGCTGGCCAGCGGTGGCTGGTCACCAGATGCCCCACTGCCAGGGGTGGAGGACGTGGGGTTTGCCACCATATGTGGCTTTGGCTGTGGCCCCAGCATGTCTGACCCAGCCCCGGGCACCAAGAACTTGGCCTCTTTTGCCCTGCCCGGCCTGGCTCTTTCCTGGGCCTGGCCTGGACCCCCGCCTCACTTCAAAGGAAACTTCTCCCGGGTGCAGGAAGATGGCCAGACACTGGGCCCATCCAGCCCAGCCCGCGGCTGCCCCACTCCATGCAGGGAAGGGTGCCCGAGGCGGGGCTGCGGGGCGCACTGGCCACAGGAGCGGGCCAGGGACCCTCGCCCGCACGACCCCGCGGCCCTGGAACTCCGCCCTGAGTAACGGGGCAGAGTGAGGGTCGCCACGGCTCTGAGAGCTTCTCCCGCAGGAGTAGCCACACACAGATCGGACCTGGGCCAGAGCTCCAGGGTCCAATCAGGCTGTGAGCCACCCGGCCCACCTGGCCTGGGTGAGTGCCTGCGCTCCCGAGGCCCCGCCCCGCCCCGCAAGGCCCCGCCCTGCCCCGCGAGGCCCCGCCCTGCTCACAGACCTGCCACTGCCCTGTAAGGCCGCACCCCGGACCTGCCCCGCCCTGTGAGGCCCCGCCCCCAGGACCTGCCACCTTCCCTGTGAGGCCACGCCCCACTCATGACCTGCCACTCCCTGTAAGGCCCCGCCCCATGGCCTGCCACGCCCTGTGAGGCCCCACCCACAGGACCTGCCCCTCCCCCGTGAGTGCCTAGGCCCTCAAGGACCTGTTACTCCCGCAGGGAGGCCCCGCCCCTCAGAAGGCTTGCCACCCCCCCAGGAATGGGCCCCACCCTTCACAGGACTTGCCACCCCCCCAGGAATGGGCCCCGCCCCCTCACAGGACCTGCCACGCCCCCAGGAATGGGCCCACCCCCTCACAGGACCTGCCACGCCCCCAAGAATGGGCCCACCCCCTCACAGGGCCTGCCACGCCCCCAGGAATGGCCCCACCCCCCTACAGGACCTGCCACGCCCCCAGGAATGCGCCCCGCCCCTCACAGGGCCTGGCACGCCCCCAGGAATGGGCCCCGCCCCCTACAGGGCCTGCCACGCCCCCAGGAATGGGCCCAGAGTTTTACTGGGCAGAAGTTCAGCATTTTACTCCCAGGCTCGGGAGGGGAAAGGGCACTGATAGTGCAGGTCTGTCTGCACGTCCTGTGGTTAAGCTCAGGACAGAAGCTGCTAGGGCCAGGGCCAGAGGCAAGGCTGGACCGGGGCCAAGGCCAAGGTGAGGGACAGGACCTGGAGGCTAGGCCGTGAGGTGGTCTTCCTGGGCAGCCGGGGGTATGGAAGGAAACACATTGCAGCTCATGCTCCTTTGACAAACTTCTCTCTGGTGTAGCCAGAACATTCCTTGTGTCATGTGAAGGGGACAGGGAGGTGGCAGGGTCTAGGAACGGCCCTGTGTGACCTGACATTTATGATGTGTAAAACAGGAAAAAATAACAACAGCCCTCTCGGTAGCCGCCACCCAGCTCGAATGTCTCTGGGCTGTCAGTTTCTCCTGACTTGTCAGGCAGAGTCCGCTACCGGACAGTCAGAAACTAAGACTCCCAGAACATCTTCTTCCTGCCTGTCTGGCCTCATGCTGTGACCCCATTCTCTCCTAAGCCAGCAGCCCCCTCTCGCCCTGACCCCAGGAACTGGGACCCACTGAAGCGCCTGACCCCTGAGGACAAAACGCAGATGCTCAGCTGGTGTCCAGTGAGGACGCCCTGCGGCATGACTGTTTCCACGAAGTTCTTTTCATCTTTGTTTTGATGGGTGACGTTCAATGCCAGAATATTTGGTTTGTGAGTCATGCTAATTAGGGCTGGGGGAGGGGCATAAGAAAGAGCAGCAGAAAGGGGCATGTTCCAAAAAAGAAAAAAAGAAAAATGAATGCCGTGCTGGTCACCCTGAGCAGGAAGCTTATATCCGGGGACAGCGTGGGGGCTTCCTTGGATCCAGCTCAGGAGGACATCTCTCACTGGTGGGCAGCTGTGTCCTGAACCTGGACCCAAGGCCACATTTCTCTCCCAGGTGCCAGGAGCACCTCCCTTGACAGGTAGCAGGGAAGTCAAGACAGCAGGAGGGGAGAGAGGGAGAGAGACAGAGACAGAGAAAGACAGAGAGAGACAGAGAGACAGAGACAGGGAGAGACAGAGACAGAGAAAGCAGCCAGTGCCCCTGGAAAGCAAACCTACTGTCCTTCCTGCCCAGCCTTCTCTTTTGGAAACTGGAGCAGCTCAGCTGAGCTCAGATTCCCTAGACTGCATGGAGAGTTCCCAGCATCAACGTGTGGGGGATGAAGACTAGATCCGTAGATCAGATGAAGAGGATCCAGGGTCCCCTACCCCACTGCCTTTGGGGCATGGGGCAAACCATGAGCCCCTCTGAGCTTCCCATGGGCCAGAGAGTCCTGGATGGATGATGGAAAATCAATAAACACATGCTTCATTCTGCTGCTTCTTGCCACTGCCTGGGCTGGGTGCTCTGCTTGCCAGGCTCCTCTCCTGTTGGACGAGCGGCGGCGGACAAGCCCCCAGCCTCCCAGCTCTCCCCAGTGAGCAGGACTCTGAGCAGGCGTGCCGGGAGGACGCGCGGCCCCTCCCCGCAGCACACGTCACAGTCTAGTGTGTGTTAGTGGCCATGCACGTGTGCTGCACAGCCTGCCGGGAAGTGTGTACTTTCTGCACTATTAAAAGCAGAGCGGGGCCTGTCTCTCAGGACGTCACACGCTCCCCAGGGATCCAGGAAGTTGTTTCTCAAGACATTTCTCATTTTCAAAGCTCCAAAAAGTATGCCCCATGGTCTCCCCACCCCTACACACTGAGAGAGGCAGACAAGGCAGCAGCAGGGCCACTGCAAGAGTAAATAACGCTTAGCCAAGCACCAGGGACTCTCGCCTGTAATCCTAGCTACTGAGGAGGCTGCGATCTGAGGATCAGGGTCAAAAGCCAGCCCAAACAGGAAAATCCGTGAGACTCTTATCTCCAGTTAACCAGCAAAAAGTGGAAGTAGAGCTGTGGCTCAAGTGCTAGAGCGCTAGTCTTGAACTGAAAAAGCTAAGGGAGAGCATCTAGTACCTGAGTCCAAGACCCACTGCTGGCACCAAAGTAAATAAATAAACAGGGTGGGGGAGGAGACTAAGGCTCGAAGAGAGAGGATGGTAGCAGAGGCTGGGAGCAGCCTGGGTGGGCTGCAGGGGTTAGCAAGGTGGGGTGCAGGCTAACAGGTGGGGACCACACCTATGCCACTGGAGATACGTGGAGGGCTGTGCGGAGGCTGGGGGGAGGGGTGCTGTCCAGAGGCTTGAGGAGATTTGAGATTGCAGCCCCAGCCCAGCCAGGGGTTCCTCCCAGCCTATGGCGGCTTCACAATTGGGGAGGGGGGAAAGACTGTTCCTACCCAGCCCATCTGGGTACCCTCCGGGACACACAGACAGTGGGATGCCAGGCAAAGTCCACCCTCCCATCCTGTGCCAAGGCCCAAGTGGGCACAGACAGCCCGGGATCGGCCTAGGTAGTAGATGGGTGCGGGGACATGCAGGGTGGGAGAGAGACGCTTCCAGAGGTAGGGCTGAGTACACACGTATGCCTTTTGCTTCCGTAGGAGAGTGTGGCAAGATCAACACGGTGGGGGACGGACGGGGCTGTGCGTTCTGCAGAAGAGCCTGCCTCCCTCCCAGTCAGAGGTAGCCAAGTCCCGGTGACTGTGGGGAGGGGGGGATCAGCCGGCACCCGCGCACCCGCAGCCCCCTAAAACTTCTCACCTCTGTCTCTTTGCCACAGCTGCCAACCCGGCCCCTCCCACCCGGTACCTTGTCCACCAAGAAGGTGTCTGCTTAGTCCCGTGCTGGCAGCAAGCTGGAGCCACGGAGACAGGAGCGGGCTGGAGCTGGGGTGCAGCCCCGGCCCCCACGGCTGGGTCACCTACCTCCTTGCAGCTGAGCCGGTTCGGCTGAATCTTTCCCGTCTCTCTCCGTCTCTTAGCGCATCTCCAGCAGCTAAGCCTCCTCCGGGCCAGGTCGGCAGGAAAGCACAGACTTGTCCAAGAAGAGAGAGAAAGAGAGAGAGAGGAAAAAAGTCCCCTGGGGAAGAGGCTGAGCGCGGGGAGGGCCGGATGTGAATGCAGCAGCACCTTTATCTCCCCGGCTAGCTCCAAGGTCTCTTTGGCCAGAAGCGGAAACGTGCCTTCTCAAAAGTCAAGGAAGAGAGGAAGAAAGCGGGACAAACACACAAGGAGCAAGCAAACCCCAGCCAGATGTGAGCTGCCGTGGAGCCTAGAACGCTCCCAGCGCAAATTACCCAAACAGCAGCCGCCGAGGATTAACTGTGTGTGTGCCCAGCCGGCCGGCCAGCCCTCCCTGCTCTGGCCGTGCTGGCGAGCCAACCAGGCTGGGGGAGGCGTCGGCAGTCTTGTCCAGATGTGGAGATGGCTGGGAGCCCAGGACGAGGACGCCCGGCACTGGCTGAGGGTGCCCAGAGAGGCTGAGGACCCCAAGTTACTTGGTGGAGGGGGATGGGCTTCCTGGAGCCCAGGTGGCCAAATGCTGAGTTCAAACTGTGGCTGACACACCCCCACGGGGTCTCAGGTTTGAGGGTGCTCCTTGAGTACCTGTAGCAGCTTGTCAGCTTGTGTTTGTGTGCGTGCGAGCACTTCAGAAAGCGAGGGTCCATTGCCTTGCTCAGAGTCTGCTGCAGCGGTGAGAAAGGGCCAGGAACACATGGCTCACACCTGTCACCCTGGCTACTCAGGAGGCTGAGCTGAGGAGCAAGGTTCAAAACCAGCCTGGGCAGGAAAGTCCAGGAGACTCATATCTCTAGATAACGGGAAAAAAAGCCAAAAGTGGAACTGTGGCTCAAGTAGTAGAGCATCAGCCTTGAGCAATAAAGTGAAGGGACAGTGCCCAGGCCCCCAAGTTCAAGCCCCAGTACCAGCAAACGCATACACATGTGCACATACACACACACACACACACACACACACACACACGCAAGCCAGAAAGGAAACCTCTGCCTAGAAGTTTCCATCTCCTGAAGAACTCCATGACTGGGACGGGGGTCACTCTGTACATTTCTCAATCTTATTACTCAAACATCCTTTCCAAACTAGCACGAGTCTCCTCCCATGATGCCCCGGGGCCTGGGGCCATCCATTCTCCATCCCCAAATCTGAGTCACATCACTTGTGCTGGAGTCTTATCACCCCACCAGAAGAGGGAGGATCTAGCCCCAGGAGACCACACTGCTCACTGCTCGGCTGACAGCAGGGCTTCACTCCGCTTCCTCCCAGGCCTGCCTCCCACTTCACTCCCACCCCGAAGCCGCGGTACCTGTTCACACTGGCTCTGCCCCCCCACTCCCCACAATCTGGGTAGGAGAGGTAAAATCAGGGCTGCTGGCTCGGGATGCCCACCCAGGACACAGCAGCAGCAACAACAACAAAGGCTGCGTTTGGCAGCTTCTTCTCTTCCACTACAGCCACATCTGGAAGGGCTGAGAGGCTGGAAGTGGGCGGCCCGGAGGGTACGCGTGATGCCCACCAGGCTCAGTCTCGCTCCAAGGCTGGGCACAGGCCAGCTCAGAATGGACAGATGGGAGGAGGGGCGGGCCCCGTGGGAGAGGTAGCTCAGGGTTCTCAGTGACCACTGTGAAGACCCCAATCTGAGTGCCAACCCCCCCCCAAGGAGCCATGCTGACCAGCCCTCCTGCACCCAGAGGCCCCACAGCCACTTGGAGGGATGAATGAAGCTGCCACCGGGCGCGGCAGAGCTCGCATCCTTGGTGGCTTGCCCGTACGGGAAGCCCGGAAGACAAACTCCCCTTCATTCCCGTAAGTGACCCCAGAACGCCGACCTCCCCGCTCCTCTGTCCCCTCCGCTGCGGCAGCAGGGGCGGCCGGGAGACCGGCAGGCCGAACAGGAAGGCCAAGTGGGTGACCCGCGGCGGTGGCCCCTGTGGGGTGGCGGCCCAGACAGACCGAGAGAACCTTGGAAAGTTCTCCATTGTCCTCCCCGGGAGCCTCTGCCCAGACCAGCCCCAGCGTTCACAACTCCAAAGAGAAAAAGGATGTGGACCGTGAAGGCTGGCTCTTTCTACTTTTCCCCTGGCCAAGATGGCCTTGGGGTTGAAGACGTGATCATTACGGCCCATGGAACCCAGGGCCTCTGCTTGCTAGACACCTACTGTCCCACTTGATCCACGCCTCCAGCCCCTTCTTACGTTGGTCATTTTCAAGGCAGGCCTGGACCGCAACCCCCCTGTGTGCTCCAGAGTCCCTGGAGACCACAGACCCGTGGCTGTGCCCAGACATTGGCTGAGGTGGCCTCTCACAAACTTCTTTTCACCAGGGGCTGGCTTGGGATGGTGACTCCGCCTACAGCTACCCCCCAAGCAGCTGGGACTACAGGCTTGAGCTACCGAGCCTGGCTATGGTTAATGCAGTTCCAAGACACAAACTCAGAGGTCGGAGACAGCTTTAGAAATCCACCAAAGGGTGCGCACCCATCTGCAGCTGGCTGGTCCTGCAGGAGGCGAGGCCCAGCCCCATGTCCACTCCTGGGCTCAGGGGAACGCGTAGCCAAGTCCAAGGTCTCTGATAGGGACCGGCTGGGCCAGAGGTGCGCAGAGTCCCCAGGGGAAGGGGGGCAGCTCCTTGCACCAAGCACTCGGATGAATCTTCTGCAGCGGGAAACATGAAGACCCTTTGGGGTCTCACACGAGTTCAAGCCGGACTGTGTGGCTCAAACTTGTATGTGCTAAACTTAGGGAAGAAACAGTTTTCAGAGGCTTTTTTGCCTGTAGTTTCTAGCATGGTGGAGTGGACACAAAGTGTTCACATAGAACTCACCATAGCCATTCTAGCACGGTATGGTCTATGCTCATTTCTTCCTTCCTTGTGGGTTGAGGCCCCCACAACTCCCAAGAGCTTGAAAAACCAGATTGCTCATTTTCCTTCAGGCAGAGGCTGGGGGAAGGGCGGTATGATGGGAAAATAGCAAAGGGAGCTTGGGGCTTCCCAAGGGGGGGGGAGGGGAATTCCAAGGAACAGGCCCTGGGTGGGGGGTGCATCTTAAAGGGTGCCTGTCACACAAGCTCACAACCCAAGCCAACAGGCAAATGGGCAAAGACTCACAAGTGAGCTCCCAAAGCCTACTGCCTGCATTCAGCAGAAGAAATAAAACGTGTCGCCAAGCCAGACAGCCCGCCACTTTCCTCTGTCCTTTGTCATCGGCTCCATCTCTTCTTGGAAATGGTAAGTAGGAGAGACAGAAAATCTGGCAAGCAAGGGATGTTCTTGTAGATGATTTGATCTTCTTCCATCTCTTCCGCTAACGCCCCAAGCTACCAAAACCAGGGTGTTCTGAGCACAGCAAATGCCTTCCTGTGCGTGTCAAGGGCTAGGGGCAAGGTAAGCAGCAACAGCACAGCACAACACAGCAGCAGCACAACAGACAACAGCCAAACCCTCCAGCTAGGCCTGGCGTGGGGAACTCCTGCCCTGGGACAGAAGCCAAAGCCAGGCCAGAGCCTGTGGTTCATGCCTGTAACCTTGCTACTCAGGAGGCTGACAGCTGAGGATCATGGTTCAAAGCCAGCACAAACCTCAGACTCATCTCCAAAAAGCTGGAAGTGGAGGTATATGGCTCAAGGGATCATCAGCCTTGAGTGAAAAAGCTAAGGGACAATACCCAGGCCCTGAGTTCAAGCTCCAGTACTAGTGCACACACACACACACACACACACACACACACACACACACACACACACAGAAATGCTGAGCCCCACTCCAAAGTCTCCATCTTGGGTCCCCAGTGAGCTGTAAGCCAAGCCCACTCATAATTTGCTAGGAGCTGCTTCTACCCAAGAGTGTCTGATCCTAACTCAAAGATGTTCCCAAATGGCTTCACTGTCTCAAGCTAGGGATGTTTGCAGGACAAGGCCCCAGAGACTCAGAGAAGGACATTTCCTGGGACCGTTCCCCGGTGGAGGGGGCAGGCCACGTTGTGCCTGCCTCTGTGTGATGAGCCTTTCCCGTTCCCTGCTGTGATTCTATCTGCTGTCTTCTCACTGGAAAGGCCTTGCAACTTCAAAGTCCATGAGACACTGAGTACCCAGTATACACTAGCCTGCCGTTAGCCGCGACTCAGTTTCTCCACTGTAGTCCTGACACGAGGCCAACCCAGCTATTCTGAGCCAGGCTCCCCAGCCAGCCCACAAGGGCAGACACTGGTTTTTGCAAACTTTTGGATTCCATTCCACAGGGTAGCGAGCAGACGGGCGGGCAGGCTCTGATTGGTGGTGTCCCACTGCCAAGGGGCGGGGGAGGGGAGGTCCTCGCCCAGTGTGGGAGAAGTTGCTGAGATGGGAAGTGGGAACTTGGCAGCCAGTACCCAGCTCCTGGCCACTAGCCTGTGCTTGTGGCTCCCACGGGCGCCACCCATGTTCTGGGGTAAGCAGGTGGAGCTCAGGACTGGCCGTGGCCAGGACAAGCCTCCTCCAGGTCTCCAGGAGGAGACCACCAGCATCCGGGCATTCTCTCTCCAGACCAGCCATTTAATTTCTTTGCCTCAGTGTCCCTATGTCTGCTTGCTTCGTGCGGTTTTGACAAATGCACTCTTCCCAGTGGCAGGGGCACAGACCCAACCTTGATGCAGGGGCTCTTCTGGATAAATAGAGCGGGCGCGCCCCCTGGTGGACAGCATTGTCCTACCCACTTAATTAGGAAATGAATGCAAGATGGACATGTGTAGAACAAACACAGGAATGAGTGGGGCAAGTGGAATGTGTGGAGCCACAGACACAAAAGGAGAGAGGTTCCAGGAGACATTGGGGCTGTGGTTGCAACACCCAAGAAGATGATGCTCTGGCATGCTGAGTACTTTGAACGGAGAAGATGAGCAGTCTTAGAGGCAGCCTGGAAAAAAGCCTCTCTGACCTTCTGCTGCCCTCTACTGTTCCTGTCTCCCATGGGGAGCAGCTCTAGACACCAAGACTCCCCTCCCCTAAAGCTAAGCTTTAAACCTAGAAGTACTGCTCTGACCTTCCCAGTCTCTCCGTGTAGGAACTGTCCATCAGGATGTTCCCGGCCCTGCCTGATGTTGGGTCACGTGACTTTCACTCCAGAAGGGGTCCTGAGGCACCCCTCCCAGGAAGCATCTGCTGCAGTGCTGCACAGAGAGGTCAGGTAGAATCAGAAGATCCTGCTGGGCTGTCCTCAGTCTCTTCCTTAAGTTGTGCCCCCTTTTGTCCAATCACAGTTCTTTCTTTTAGTAGAGCACATGACTTAACACAATGGG